TAGGTAGAGTTCTAGCAGAAATTAAGAAACAGGTTAATTATGCATAACTTTTGCTAAGAATCCCAGGTTAATTATAATCTTAAGTAAGGTACAGTAAAATATTTATAAATTAATAACGTTGGGACTTTAAAATTTTATTAATTTATAGAGATATTAATTTAGAAAACTTTCCTTATTTAGATTTTTAAAATTTTAAAATAAATTTATTCTAAAATAAGAAAAATATTTGATTTTACTATATAATTATTAATTATTATTTTCAAAAAATTTTGAAATTTATATCAATTTTATTATATTATTTTGTGTATATAATATATATTGCCTAGAATCTAAATGTGGTTTAAGACATAATATTACCAACTATCATCAAAAATATAATAAGTGTTAAGAAAAAGAGAATTCTATTATGAATACTAGGTAAGGAACCCGTGCGATGTCGCACGGAAACTCATTTTATATAAATATATTACATTTTATAACTTAATATTTTATATAAAATTGCATTATTTTTTATTTTGAAAGATGTCTATTTGTCATAATATATATTCGTTTACAGATACTACTAACAATTCATGTTTATTTATAAGTTTAGATTTTAATTATAATACAAATATATCAATACCAACTATGACATATATATATCTTATTATAAGTTTAGGTAAGTTATTCTGAAATACGAATAAATTCCAAAAAGCAGTCTTTAAATTTAAGGAGGATTTACAACTTTTGGTAAAAAACAAATTCTTCAAAAGACATATTGTTTCAAAATAAATTTAAAACTTATATTTAACAAAATTACTTTTAAACTAATGGGGATTCACAACCTTTGGAATTAGTGAGGATTGTTATTAATTTGAAAGGTTGTATCTTTATTTTAATTTATAGAATTTATTTTGAAACAATATGTCCATTCAAAAAAAAATAACAATTTTCATTAATTCCAAAGGTTGTGAATCCTCATTAATTTGAAAGGTTGTATATTTATTTTAATTTTTGAAACAATGTATCCATTCAAAAGTTAGTTAAAAGTAATATTGAAACAATGTATCTTTCCAAAAGTTAGTTATAAAATATTGTAAAAGAGGTTTTTTTAAATATGATTGAGAGGTTGTAACTTATATATATATATATATATATATATGTTTTGAAACAATGCCTCTTTCAATGTCGCCATGCATTGTTTCAAAACATATATATATTTTAAACATATATTAGTTACAACCTTTCAACCATATTAAAAAAAAAACTGTTTTTACAATATTTTATAACTAACTTTTGAAAAGATACATTGTTTCAATATTATTTTTAACTATTTTTTGAATGGTCACATTGAAAAGATGCATTGTTTCAAAACATATATATATTTTAAACATATATAAGTTACAACTTTTCAACCATATTTAAAAAACCACTTTTACAATATTTATAACTAACTTTCGAAAAGATACATTGTTTCAATATTATTTTTAACTAATTTTTGAATGGACACATTGTTTCAAAATAAATTTAAAAAACTAAAAGAAAGATACAACCTTTCAAATTAATGAGGATTCACAACCTTTTGAATTAATGAGGATTGTTATCTATATATAGTGTATGTCTATAATTTCTGATTGTTATATGATTTATAATATAATAGAACTTCTAAGTAATTCGAACGGATACATCTTTACACTATAATATTGTTTATTATATACTTTTGTTCATAACTATTCATGGTATTTTTTGTTTATAATTATTTTGATTTCTTCAATCCCAATTAATTCTTAATAGATTTTTATTTTCATTCTAATTTTTGTCATGAATGTTTATTATAGGTACGTTTTAGTTTACAACTGTTTTTCATTTTTAAATATTATTTCTTTTACTTTATGTCTTTTCAATTTTATTTATTATGATTGTATGTTTCATCACTGTACATATTTTTAGTTTATTACCACTCTTACTTAGAAAATTGCATCTTTTCCACTTCTGTCTTTTCAATTCTATAAATACAACATTTTTTGTCTTTCAAACCATAATTTCAGGAAATTAAAGTGTCTCCGGCGACTAAGATAGTCGGATTTTCTTCTTCATCTTTTTTTATTGTCTTGTCTACAAAAATTCTAAGTAATTTAGTATCTATGCTAAAAAAGCAGTTACAACAGAAATAATGAATGGTTTAAAAGGGGAGAACAAAGAATAGTTGTGACTCATATCTGCAAAATATGTATCCTTCTCAAAGACGTTATGCAAGCGTGAGTAATCTATCAACCACGACAGGCATTGTGAGTTCGATTTCTTCAAGTGGTAATATAATCTGGTTTCCTCTTGTTTGCTATACCCATTTGGTTCATCACTATCAACTTCTCTAAGATATTTCTCTTTAAAATGAGAGGTTTTCATGGGTAGAGGAGAAGTTCACAGACAAACCGCTAATGCAAGGGTGGCAGATTTAATTAATGGCCTGGTCTTCATGTGTTGTCTTCTGTTTAAATTGGCTGATTATTTTCCAGCATTCTCTTTTGTTGTGTCTTATCATTATAAACTATCACAATAAGTATATTTCTACAGTTATTAGTTTTAAGAATTGTGTCTTTTCATTATAAAAGATAAATTGTTTTAAATCCCATTTAGTGTTAAAAAATGTGCCATTTGATAGAAAATAATAATATGAATCTCACTTAAAGTTAAGAGTTGTGATTTTTCATTAAGAAACTGACATTAGTTTTGTTTTCTAACGTATAACTATTGGATTTTTTTATTAGTTAAAATATTTCAATAAGTTTATTTTTATAATTAAATTAGTGTTAAAATTTATATCTTCTCATTATGAAAGGTAATTTTTTAAAAAATATAATTTTAAGAGTTGTGTCTTTTCATTAAAATTTAGTAATATGAACCTAATTTTAATGTTAATAATTATGACTTTTCATAAAAATAATATTAATTTTTCTTCCAACATGTAACTATTGATTTTTTTTTCCAGAAAGTAGTTAAAATATCTCAACAATTGTTTTCTACAATTATCAGTGTTAAGAATTGTGACTTTTCATAAAACTAGCATTAGTTTTGTTATCCAACATGCAACTATTGGGAATTTTTTGAAGTAGTTAAAATATTCCAATAAGTGTTTTCTACCATTATTATTTTTAAAAGTCGTATTTTCTTGTAATAATAAATTATCTTTAAAATTTTTTTTGAGTTGTGTATTTTCATTAAAAACTGACATAAGTTTTATTTTTTCAACATGCAACTATTGAGATTTTCTTAAGTAGTTATAATATCCCAATAAGTGTATTTTTACAATTATTTGTTTTAAGAGTTTTGTCTTTTCATTATAAAAGAAAAAATATTCTAAATCTTATTTAATGTTAAACATTTGTGTCTTTTCATAGAAATAATAATTAATTATCATTACAATTATTACCATTCAATGATTACGTCTATAACTATTTTTGAATTCATATCAACATCTTCCACGGTAAAGAGTCCCCCTTCTTCTATAACACCAAGTACATCTAATATAAAATATATCAGTAAAAAATCATCCCTCAAATTTAAACTTTGTATTATTAAAATAATTTATTTTTTATTATTACTAACCGTTAAATTGTTTATTGGTATTGGCTAACAACTGAAACTCATCGTAATTAAGAAACTGGAATTTCTCAAAATTTATTGATACCACTACATCATTAATAATTTCCGCGGTTGATTGGTCATTTATACGTAACTGGAAACGATGATTCAAAATTTTATAGCTTTCATGTATTCAAAACCAGTAACCAATAAAATGTTACCCTCAACAATTTTTTCTTCAAATTGTTCTATAAATTTATTATTTATAGATCCAACAATAGTTTCATTCTGAATCATCAAATAAAAAAAACAACAAAATTGTTAACTTCCAGAAAATGCTTGTTTCCCAACTCAAGAAAAAAAATCCTTATACAAATCATTATTAGAGATCCAATTTTGAAAAATTAACTAAAAAATAACATTTTCGTCTAGTAATAGAAAATTAAGACTAATAATTTCATTGTTTCGTTTAGGATTTTTGGCTATCCAAACACGAATGATCCTCCCTATTATTGTTTGTTGGCAACGCTTCATTTGAATATCTTCTAAAAATTTGTATTTGGGTAACTTAACAGAGTCTTTATTCTTCACCATTTTCTTCTTTAAAACTGTAAACTTTTACTCTCAAGAATGTTGTACACATAACCTATATATAGCGAACAAAAGTTACAACCTTTCATATTCTAATTATTTTAAATGAAAAGTCACAACTTTCTACTAATACATCTTTTCAATATTATTTTGAATATTATATCTTCTTACAATAATAATAATTGTCATCTGCTAAAACAAATATTACAATATTTAATAACTAACTTTTCAAAAGATGCATTGTTTCAAAACATATATATATATTTCAAACATATATAACTCACAACCGCTCAACAATATTTAAAATAAACTTTTTCACAATGTTTTTATAACTAACTTATCAAAATAAAACATGGTTCCAAAATTACTTGAACTACTTTTTCAATGGAAACATTGTGTTAAAAATTTTAAATAAACATACAACCTTTCAAATAAATGAGCATTCAAAACCTTTGGATACAACCTCTCAAATTAATGAAGATTCACAACCTTTCGAATTAATGATAATTGTTATTTAAAAAAATATAAATACAAATGAAGATTCACAACCTTTGGAATTAATGAAAATTGTTATTTTTTGAATAGACACATTGTTTGGAAATAAATTAAAAAATATTAAAATAAAAACACAACCTTTCAACTTAAAAGGAAGTCACAGCCTTTGGAATTAATTGGGATTCCTATTATTAATAGATAAAACAAACATATATATAATGATATGTTCTTATTTATATAAAATGTGTATACATATAATTATTAATTTTAATTTTAATAGGACCATATATTTACATAGAGTTTTCTAAAAAGATATTATCTTATTATTTTATTGATTTGTGTCAAATTTTGAACCGATCTAAGTTGAAACCGACAGAAGATGTCAACACAAATACGTATATTGTTTATGAGGCTCATAATGGACTTTTAAGAAAAGCCTGTTTTATGAACTACAAGTCCAAAGGATAGTCTCGAAGAGGAGAAACCCTAGAGAACTGATATATATACAAACTCTTTTCTTCTGTTCTACGCCACAACCAAAGGGGAGAAGCAAAAATGGTGTCTCTGAAGCTCCAGAAGCGGCTCGAAGCATCGGTGATGAAGTGCGGGAAGGGCAAAGTTTCGCTCGATCCGAATGAATCTTCCGACATCTCGATGGCTAACTCCCGTATGTTTTGCTTTTTTATCTCTCTCATGTTCATTTTGTTATGTGTTTTGTCTGCGATGCGATGATAGTAGTAGTAGAACACATGAGTTACTTAGGTTTTGTAGTTTTATCCGTTGTCTATGTTGAATCACTGTCTTCTTTTATAGCCCATTAGAATCATCACCTGTTTTTTTATATCAAGTTATAATTAAATTAAACCCTTTTATAATAACAGACAATGCAAGTTACATAACCATGGGATCACCAAAAATATTTCTCCGGCCGTTTAATCTCTCCGACGCCGGAGACGTTCTTAAATGGGCCGGTGATGATGACGTCACACGTTACCTCCGTTGGGACTCTATTAAAACCGTGGAAGAAGCCCAACAACACATCCTCCAAAAGGCCATACCATACACATGGCGCCGTTCCGTCTCTCTTGTTGACAACGGTCGTTCCATCGGTTACGTCTCCATCAAGCCTGATTCTGGAGATGGTAGTTGCCGGGCCAACCTCGGTTACGCGGTCTCCAAAGAGTTTTGGGGGCGAGGGATAGCCACTGTAGCGGTGAGGATGGCGGTGGACCAAGCTTTGGAGGCTTTTCCGGTGGTGGTGAGGATACAAGCGGTGGTGGAAGTGGAGAACATAGCGTCTCAGAAGGTTCTGGAGAAAGTTGGGTTTGAAAAAGAGGGTTTGCTTAAAAAATATGGTTGTTGCAAAGGAGTGGTTAGAGATATGTTTTTGTATAGTTTTGTTAAGGATGATTGTTAAGGGAAGTAACTTGATAAGATCATGTTTTAGTCGAAATTATATTTTTAGTTTGCAAAGAAAAAGATGTTTACGGCAACGAGTGATGGTCCCTTTTGTATCTATGTCTTTATCATGTCATAAGTTGTTATAAGTCGTGTCATATGAATTATAAACTACGGTGACTTTTCTCTTTTGTTCAATGTTTAGACTGAAGAAACTAAAATAGGAAGACATAATCTTATCGTCTTGTATATAATCAACCAAATAACATACATACATTTAGTTAAATATTTTCGGTCGCATGGTGGCAACTATTACAGAATAGAAAGCGCTCGGCTTATAAATGTTAGATGGGTGTTATACATTAAAACAAGACGTCATAGTCAGTCGATATGTATGTAAATGTTTAGGAAGAATACGGAAAAAAGAGTGTGTGAAAGGTCTTTGTGAAGTATCAACGAGCACGCATGCGACTTGAACAGAAGCCATGCATAGTGTCGACGGGCCGGCTAATTGGGGGGGACAAACGGTACGACCGCCCCGGGTCCAAGCCCGTGTCCCCCCGTATATGAATAATTAAGGGGCCCAAAATTTTTAATAAATACATAATTATATATAGAAAATTTTAAGATTTTAATAAATGAATTTAAAATAGGGCCCAAAAATTTTATGTGTATAACTTTTTCTTTCCATTACCAAATATTAATGATTAAATTTTAGAACAAAGAAAAGATATAGAAAATATTAAATAAATATATATTTAAAGGCTAAAAATTTTTTTTTGCCCAAGGGCCCATAAAAATGTTAAGCCGGCCTTCGTCAATATGATAATGTTTTACTACATTTCCTGTCATATCAAATCTTAAATGTGTCAAGTTCTTATTCAACCACTTTCATATATACATATTATTATGAGAACGTTTTCATCTACTATATTTCTTCCTTAAATTTTGCATAAACTCGAAATGTTTTTGAAATATCCATTGGCTAATAACTCTGACTTGAGGTTTGTATTAAGTGATCAGCTGGTGCCAGGTTTTATATTTTTGAGAGATTCGTATATTTGTATATATATTTCTTGTTTTATTGAACTCAATGATTCAGAGAAAATGAGAAATGAAAACTAAAGTTGTTAGTTATAATTTTAAAGATAATAGTTGAATCCTTTTTCTACAAATGAAACAAAATTGAGAAATGGCTTAAAATAGCACCAAGTGTTTTTTTACGTTCTTTTGTAATTTTCTCAGTTTCATAACAATAGTTAGTAAGTAGTAACACATCCGCAATCATATATATAAACTACAAGATCTGAAATTGAACAAAGAGCTAGTCACTCTTCTTGATTCGTGTTTGTCAACTCTAAACATCGATATTGAATTGAATAGAGAGTATCGAGAGACATCAGCAAAATCGATATTAAATTGTTGATGATAGACACAACCACGACTTTATTGTGTTACAAAGGGCTTTCTTTTTTAAAAAGTGACAACACAATTTGAATATTCTATAAATCGTGGCAAATTAACCCAACAAAACCACTTCTCGGCTAGAGTTAATCAACGAGTATAAGTCCAAATGTATTCGCCTAGTGTGGTCACTCCTCTTCCACAAATATTATGATTTCACTCCTCTCTTATTAAATTTATTTTTACTTTTGTGTAAAAGATATATATGATGCGACAGGGAAGCAGTGAATGCTGATGTTTATGGGGTCCCCTTTAGTCCACGTGGAAGCAACTCTTGATGCTTTCGGAGGGGGGTTATTTGCAGGGACCCATCTATAATTCTTAAAAGAGTGGACCCTTTTCTGACAACAACCAACGGGCAAATCAGTCCCAAGAGTGAAAGTGTTCTGATCTCACGGACGGTCACGATGGTATGATGGATTGTGTTCACGAGCCATGACACGACTCATGATGCTTCATTAGTTCTCTATTGTGAATTGACAATATTAAAGTCAAATTGATGATTATCAAGTTTTGCAAAAACAAAAACAATGCTTAAAGCCATTCATGATCTCTTGTCCCTATTTTTGATTGGTAATTCAGTTATTTATTTATTCTGTTATATATAATGGAAAACACGACATGTATACTAGCAACAGTAATCAATCCGTAAAGATAATTTAAACATATAGGCATATGCGGTAATGTTTCTAATTGATAGAACATAGAAGTATTGATATTAGAGAATTTAAAATAAACTAACTACATTCTCTCTTAATATTTTTACCAGTCATAAAATCATAATCACTTAACGATGTGTTTAAACAAAAATAACAGACAAATTAAAAAAAGTATGATTCTTGAAATTGGTATATTAATGTGTCCATGAAGTATGTAAAAGTTGGACTAGGGAATAATGTCAAAATGTTTCCGTGTTAGACATAGCAAGTGTATGATAAACTATAAAATTATTTATCAGTGTGTACAAAATTGTTCACCTTGCAAAGAGAGTGGCCAGCTAGGAAAGCAAAAGAGATCAGTTGAGATTGTGAAATATATTCGTACGTATGAATCGTATCTCATTCCATTCCGATGCTGATCAGTGACCAAGTCCACCCACACTCCCATGCTAACAATATCATCATCATCGCCAAAAAGGTACTAAAAATCATTACACGAAAGGAAAATTTGCATCAAAGATTTTGATTTACAAGATGAATTAAAGTAACTTCTGGGTGATGAAACATCATCTCGATGTGTCTCCCGTTGAGAAAACTACTTGCTTGTTTCCTACTAGCTTAGTTACTCCTTTCCTGGTTACGCTTTGGTTTGATTTTGCTGAAACTCTGTACATATTCTTAAGTTGTAAAACTCATGTTTTGTACCAATGGAGGATTAATTAAACACATCCCAATGTAGCGGTGAAAGAAAACCATAGATATTCATACCCAGTCATTATTATGTGATACTCCACGTTTTAGTAATAACAAAACATATGCAGTACTTGAAGTCAGATTAGCAAGTAGCTTGTTAAATGGGAAAGCGTTGAACCTAACATATAATTTATCACCTAATCCCCAATAAGTAAGAAGTACATTGCATCTATATTCATTCATCAATGAACTTAATCTAAGAAAGAAATACTCCAAACAAAATGGCCTAATGTTACTCGGACCATGATCTACCATCCTGGTTTTAGTGCGCCTTTTTTTGTCAAACAAGTAAATTGAATATGCAAGCAATGAAGTATGCAACACGAGAATTGCCAACTTCTACTTTTTTTTATTTAATTTATAAAGTTCCATTTCCCACTAATAAGCAGAAAAGAATATGGAAAGAAAACTAAAAAAGAAAAATCTAAATGAAAATAATAAAAGACCAAAGGGCCAGTAGAAAACGACGTGAGTGGTGCCTTGGCACACCGAAAAGCAACAAATGAATTAATAAATTCATAAATAATAAGCAGACAAAATAATAATAATGTAGTAAATTAATAAAATAAATGAATCGAATTTGGGAAGTTCCACTGCATGAACTTAAAAGCTCTGAGTGGTTTTCATCTTAATTTCTTCACCCACTGATTTCCATTGCACCTCCCTCTCTCTATAGTTAACTTATATATAAATAGTCATACACTACACAGACTTAACTACACCAAATAAGTACTGATAGATGCATATATATAACTTATACAGGCGTTAGTAAGTGGTGTATGTGTGTCTTTAGTGCTCTGTTTCTGGTATGCAACTTCATGGCGATTTTTGAGGGTTTTTAGATATGGAAGAGAATCAGTGGGGCTGTTTTCTTTTCCCTCTCTGCTCATCGAAACTATAACCCACTAAAGTCACAAACATTATAAAAAAAAAGCAAAAGCAAACGGATCAATTTCTCTTTTTATTTTTTTCTAAATATATTTTCCTGTTTTTGTTTGCTTCTTCTTCCTCCAAACTCTAGCAGAACGTTTTACGTTTACATGCGAGAAAGTCGGGAGTGAAAAAAAATCTTTCTTTTTTCCTTGTAATATTAAAAGCTCTCATCTTTTCAGTTACTTTCATTTTGTTTTCTCTTTTACTCTACTTTTCTCTTTGTTGTACACTTCAATTTTTTTCCCCTTCTTCTCAGCATCATGGAGGCAACAGAACTCAATCACCTTTATTTTCTCTGAAAACATTTCACAAAGTCTCAAACTTTTCATATCCTTGAGGTTAGTTTTCATATAAAGATCCTCTCTTTCTTTTGCGAATTACCAAGACAAAGTTTTGATTCTTTTTTTCTTTTTCTTTTGCAGTGAATTATGCTGAAGAAGAGATCAAGAAGCAAACAAGCATTAATGGCGGATACGAACCAGAAACAGAGTAAACCCACACCCAAAACGTTTCCACGCCTCTTCACAGCTTTCACCAGCTTCAAAAGCTTCACTGAAAACGACGCCGTCGCCAGCCCAACCTCAATCCTCGACACCAAACTTTTCTCCCCTTTGAAAAACACTCTTGTACCCGATAACCCGAAAACCCACGAACCCGAGACCCGACTCAAGCTCGAACCCACCAGAATCGGACTCGCCATCGTCCAAGATGAAGACCCGGTACCCGGTTTATTCTCCCGACCAAGATCCGGAACTATACTATTCGGGTCCCAGCTCCGGATCCGGGTCCCGGACTCTCCACGATCCTCGTCGGATTTTGGGACCAAAACGAAAACTTCTCCGGTTTCCCCTCCGCCGGAAGAGGTGAAGAAAGCGGGTATCGGGTCGACCCGGATCTTCACGGGCTATTTCTCGACCAGCGAGATGGAGCTGTCGGAGGACTACACGTGCGTCACGTGTCACGGGCCTAACCCGAGAACGATCCATATTTTCGATAACTGTATCGTTGAGAGCCAACCCGGCGTCGTTTTCTTTCGAAGCTCCGACCCGGTTAACGATTCTGATTATTTACCACCCGACAGTTTTCTCAGTAGCTGCTGTAACTGTAAGAAGAGTCTTGGGCCTCGTGATGACATTTTCATGTATAGGTAAATATCATATTTTTACCTCTTTTTACACTTTAATCAAATCATAAACAAATGAATTTAAGCTATATGATATTTCTGCAAATGAATTTTTGGATAGCTTTTTTTTTTTTTTTTTTTTTGTGAAACGAATTTTTGGATAGCTAATTAACACATCTTTGGTGACTTAATTTGCAGGGGTGATAGAGCCTTCTGTAGCAGCGAATGCAGGTCTTTGGAGATGATGTTGGAGGAAAATGACATTTTAATGAAATAAGCTTATTGAGATTTTAAAATGATGTTATGATAATGACTAAAATAAATAAGTAACTGTAGTATGAGGAAAATGATAATGTTAGATATAAATTTTTGTTTAATTGCTTTTTTTTTTCGCTCGGGGCAGAGTTGGTATCTGTATCTATCAATCAATGTGTATTATTGTGTCTACATGATGCATAATCATATACATATTTTACTTAATCGTTACTTTTTTTTTATTTTTGTTGATAACAACATAAAATTAAACTATGATATAGTAGTAAAGAGCACAATAAGTTAACAAAGCAAATTCCATTTTGCGATGTTCAAGACTGACATGCAAGCGCATCTCTTATTATATGGACTATGGAGTATAAAGAAACGAAAAATCCAAGGTTTTTTTAATCAAGCACGACCCCATGTTAGGTCTTCTTAGGCTCAACACCAGCAATTTTTATAATAGTTGTGGCAAAACATAATCATGGTTCATGAAACGTTAATCAATGTCTTCCAAATTAGAAGTAGATTCATTTGTCGTTGAGCGTCTGGGTTTTACTCTTTTTGCTGACAAAATAATGGAATATCGTCTCTTTATACAGTGACTAGTATATCTCCATGTTTTGTTTGTAACCAAAATAAATATAAAACATTTATTTTTCTTCTCTAAAACAATTAAAAATTAGAGAAAACATTTATCTTGCTCAAATACAATTTAAATATGAATTAAATGGCTAGAAATCCAAAAACAAAATAAAGAAACTAACGCATACAAAAAAAAAAATTTAATAAACTGAATGTGATGGGACAATTTTACTGACTAACAACAAGGTATCATAGTGTGGGTTTTAGGGTATTAACTTAATTAGGAGAAAAGTGATGTGTATGGGATACAATTTCACTTTAAATTTTAACGTTATTTTTGTAGATTATTGGGGTTTGTATGTTTGTAGACTACTCATTTTTTTCATGTATATTTTTGTTTTTTTGTAGTACTCTTTTTCACCTCTAATGTTATATTTATTTTGTAATTTTTTTTAATGAAAAAATCTACAAAATTTGGTAACATTATAGAAGAAAAACAAAACAAAAGTGTATGTTGATCCGTAAGTAAATAAATAATATCTCTATAAGACTCTTTTTTTTTTGAAACACTCTCTATAAGACTATTAAACATATTTTAAAATAAGAAAAACTAATCTGAAATATGGTTTTGATATAGAGAGTAGACATGAGACCTAGTTTCTATCACCTTTTTTAAGTTCATTTTTTCGTTGTGTATTATTCTCAAGTTTGTTATTGGAATTGTAGAGTTTTTTTGCAAAAAAAGATTTATTATGGGTATTATAAGTCTGCTTTAAGGTGAGTTGTTAGTTTCCTTTCTCGAATTACCACCACCACAGATAATAAACATTTTCTAGCAAATCGAGAGTTCATTTAGTCCATTTTAAAATGATATTGATCTATTATACTACGTTAAAGGATAAATATAATATGTAGGTTAGAGGAGATAAAGATTCATGGAAAAAGTTAACATGATGCAAAATATTATTTGAGTATTGAAGAGTTGGGCGTAATTAGTCTCACTAACCTGGACTTTACTCTTCATCTGCCAACTTTGCATTAAGTTTCTCTATAGGAAATTTGTATATTTTTTTTCCTTAATCATTGAAAATAAGAATATCTTCAGAAGCAATTTCATTTGTCTGGTTAGAAATTTAAACCTCGTCAACCTGTTGCAGAGAAAGTGAAAAGAACCATGGCAAAGAAACTACAAAATCATTGGCTGTGAGATTTTTAAATAGTTCACGCCAAGAGCAAAATCAGTTATATTGGCTGTGAGATTTTTAAGGAAGACTTTCAAGACTTTAGAGATCTAAAAGCCTGATTGGAATAAAACTGACTTTAATGGCTTTAGAATTAGTTTAAAGCCTCTAAAGTCTTCAAAGTAAAAATACCAATCGGAACCTAAATCAGGTAGAGATGAATTTATACGTGTACAGTTTAGAAATCGTGTGATCACGTGTACAGTTTAGTAAACGTTACTGCTTTTTTTTTGCAATTTTTCTTTACATCTTTTTCTTTAAATTGTTAAACATAATCCATGTATCAAATTTTTGTTGGTCATGTAACTTATGCTTTAGTATATAAATTATTAGTTTTACATAATGTTTTTCTTGCTAATTTCCCCTTTTATATAATAGAGAATGTGATAAAACTTGTAGCAATTCATTTTAGAACCATTCATCTTTGATACATCAAAATCTTAATAATATAAGGCTTACTTAACTATCGTAAGAGCATTTCTAATTTTCTAGCCCCACTGTATAATTTATTGGAAATGCAATGAGAAATAAAGTGATGAACTAAAAAAATGATTACTTTCGAATTGAACATATAGAATTTTCATGACAATATTAATTGTCAAAAGCTGATCAGGTTTTGACTTCCAAGTTATCAAATTTTTTACATAAACACAATTAACAAGTAAAAACTCGAGGTGCCAATCTATTTTTTCATGAAAAGTATTGTATAATAACATATCTACACTAACGTAATGCTTCATGTTATCTCTGAAAATAAAGTTTGAAATCTATATCTCTTCGAACCTAAATTTCTAAATTTTAATACACACAAAATCAATTATAGGTTATTTTCTACAAACAAAGAATAAACCAATCTCTCACTTTAAACATCGCTTTAAACCCAACTAAACGTCTAAGCCTAATTAAAATGACTTGACCCAACTTCACTAGTCTTCTTTTTGTAGCCGGACCTATGAGTATTTGTTTGAAACATTTGAATAAAGCCCCCACTTTTGTGGAGCCCCTATTTTTTAAAAAAATATTTTGTTTAAATACATATATACAAATATAATAAGTGTTAGATCTATAAGAATTTCTCAAAAATATACTTTTGTTATTATGTTTTAAATATAAATAAACTTTGATAATTAGTTAAAGAACAAAATAAATTAAAATAAATGGTTAAAGAGAAATTCATAAACAAAATTTATAAAACTATTTTTTTTTTATAACACTGAGCAATGAACAAAGTTTGAAGACAAACAAATGTGTAGGACTTAAAAACATAAAAATGAGATGTCAATAGACACCTTCATAACAACAGAAGATAAAAGAAGCAGGAATTACCAACACCCTTACTCATTTAGCTTCCAAAACTAGAAGGTGAAATAGCCATGATGGAGTATTCCGAGCGATGTACGACTGGTGGCGCTTATTTCAAGTGACGCTGAAAGCAATGGCCGTTGCCGCTTCATTACGCTCCGGAAGAGTATGATCGAGACTCCATGAATCTATATGTGATAGAAGCCAGAGAATGCTGTGGCGAATTTATAAAACTATTTAAAATAACAATTATTTATTTTGATTAGGGTCTCTAAAATCTTAGAATCGGCTCTGCTTTTTCTTCACCCGAGTTGATATTTGCAAAGAAAAACGGTACACAAGTGTAAGTGTAAGGTTTTATCCATCACCCATCAGCTCCTCCTCCACCTTGTAACGACGATAGAACAAAAATGAATAGAGGAGACAGCGACATGTTCCTACAAATCTCCAAAAACATGTCCGATTAAGTTATTTCGATCCAAATCAAGCAAATGTGACATAACAAAGAGAGAAAAAGGCATTCTTCTGTATAATATCCAAACCAATAATTTTCTTTAGCAATCGATATTGTATTATTTATGAATTAAAAAGAAAACAGAGAGAAAAAGGAAAAGAAAAAATGAATGACAAAGCAGAGTTGTTCTCCATTTTCTATTTCTCTATAAGACAACACACAAAATAGTGATATAAATATGACCAATTAGGTCTTGGAGATCTGAAATACTGTCACACAAATCTCATATGACTAGTTACATCCAGATTTTGATGGTGCCAGAATTGCAGATGGTAAAGGAAGAAGAAGAAACAAATTGTCAACTTAGTTTTTTGGTCAACTTAGATTTTCGGTAAGGTCAATTTATTTTGGGTTAGACTTGGTTTGGGTCTGATTAGATTTAATTTTGATTTATTATTGGATTTAATGGTTAAGTGGTAAACAATAAACCAAATTAATTCAGGTTCATGTGTGTTTTTAGATTTAAAAATATAAGTTTGTGTGGTTTAAAGTTTAGATATTTCGATTCAAAAAGCTATAGATTTCAAAATTTATTTTTAGAGAGATTTAACTCGTGATATTACTTTAGTGTAGATCTCATACTAGACGATATTTCTTATGGAAAAATAGATTGTCAATCCAAAATAATATATAAATGTATCACTTATGCATATGCATATCATGGAAAGCCGAGAGAAAAGTGAAGCCATAATTACTTTAGGTAAAAGAGTGTATTGAGATTTTCTTTTTCTTTTGTAGACTAAAGTATTGAGATTCTTAATTCCAGTAAAATAGTTTTTCTTATTTTATCTAACATAAAATATATTTTTGATATAAAAATATATTATCATAAATTTGTATTCAATTTCTAAAAAAAAATGTTAATGTCAAAATGCAGTATAATAGCTTCCAACTCGAATTTTTTCTTTTGCTACAGAACTCAAAAATTGTTTTACAACATTTTCAGGTCAATGTTAACCTTGCATTGCTCTTTTATATTTTTACCATATACAAATGAAACCGCATCGTTCCGGTAAAAAGGCTTATCAGGTATCGGTTTGGATATTTTGGTTTCAGGTAGTTTGGATAGGAAGCTAAAAGATCCAATTATTATTTGAGCTATTTTCGGTTCGGTTCAGTTTGGATAGTTTCGGGTTTGGTTCGGTTCGAATAGTAAAATTAGGAACCAAAAAATACGTGAAAAATTCAGTTTTCATTTGGTTTTGGTTCTGGTTTGGGTAGTTCAGATAAGTTATCGATTATTTTAGATAAAATATCAAATAAATAGAATGATTTAGATATAACTTTTGGATATTTTGGATTACTTTGTATATTTGGGATAAAACTATCCATATACTTTTGGGTAGTTTGAATATTTTATAACTATTTAGTTATCTTTAACTATTTTGAATACTTTTAATAGATTTTTAAATTAAAACCATATATTTAGTTATGTTATATAGATATAAAAATAATATTATTATATATTCGAATATCCGTTCAATTCTCGGTTCGATTTGGTTATTTTGAATATATAAATATAAGAATCATTCGGATATTTGAAGATTTCAGTTTGGTTCCACTTTCGGATATTTCGGTTTGGTTTTGTCTGGTTTTTCGGTTCCAGTTTTTTTGGCGAGTCCTAATTCCCACCTTCGGTTAATAAAACAACTCAGGGGTATTTCGGTAAATGACGAAACTCCCTTATCTCACTTTTCCGATCCTCTGTCTTTTGCACCCGTTCACTAAAAAAAAAAAAAGGAAGACGCAATCTTTTTGTTTTTGAATGGATTCGTTACCTCTTCTTCTACGGTTTTGATTCCTTATGAATCGATTATCTGTAAATCTCATTCTTTCTAATTGCTTTTGAGTCTGATCCAATAAAAAAAAACCCGACCCGGAAGCCATGAGAGTCCATCCAATACTTAACAACAACAACACATTGATCCACCATCACCATCGCAACCCGACCCGAGAACCCGGAAAGAATCTCCGTCGTTTACCTCACATCTTCAACCGCGTCCTCGAGCTTCCGTTAAGATCCGAAGCAGACGTCTCCGTGGAAGAGAAACCCGATTGTTTCAGATTCGTGGCGGAGACGGACGGCGTTCGCGACGGCGGAGGGGGAGAGATGACGGCGTATACGGTGGAGATCCATCCGGGTATTACAAAGATCGTTGTTAGGACGAATGGGTTGTCTTTGGGTTTGTCGTTGGATGAGTTGGAGCTTGATGTCTGGCGTTTTAGGCTTCCGGAGACAACAAGACCTGAGCTTGTTACGGTGGATTGTGTTGATGGGACTTTGGTTGTTACGGTTCCTAAGATGGTTTTGGATATGGTTTGGGAAGTGGGAGGTTAGTTCTTGTTTTGTAAATTTGAGCAATCTCTGCTTTGTGTAATGAATGATACAGTTTGTGTAATGATGGATATTTTAAAAAATATTAACGTTTACATTTGAATCTTTGTGAGTTTTTTGATCAAGAAACGTGAGAGAGAAGACTAGACAGATCAACACTCTCTTTCTTTCAGACAATATTTGATTCAATATTGTAGATTTTGGTAAAACGTATAAGTGAAGAAGATAACCAGTTAGAACAGAGTATTTTTGAAACGTTTTGTGTCTGAACACCATGAATGTACAAAGATCTTGGTACTACTATACATTGTGTATATACAACACCAGACGTAACCAAAAATTAAACCAACTCAATATTAATGGTCTTTTGCTTACCCTCTTCTTTTAAAGTTTAAATAAAAACTAGGTGTTATGATGACTGGCTACATAAGCAGAGTAATAACATCCAACATAATCATACATAATAAGATAAAACTCCAAGCCTAATACAGGTTTCAAGAAGTCTGCAACATAAACCCCAACAAAAAGAAATAAAAATCCGCTAGATAATAATACAACAAGACTGGCTAAAAAGATAATAGGATAGTCAAAAGGATAAACAAACCAAGCCAGATTTTATTTCATTAGAGGAAGAAGCCTTTGAGTGGAGTGAACTTAGAGAGGATCTCTTCTTCACGCTTCAGAGCATTCTCTTTCTTGCATTCCCACTCAGGCTTCTTCGAGTTAGCTGCTTGAACTTCCTGCACCACTTTAGGTATCGAGTTCGCCACCATTTTCTGTCCATAGCTCAGATCAACTTTCTCCTTCTCCTTGCTACCAATGTACTTCTTCAGCTCAGCCCTCCTAGCTTGAAGCTGAGCGATTTGTTCATCAATCTGACGGATTGCCTCAGAGTTCTCGTCTACTTCCATATGGATACTCCCTAGCTTGTGCTTCAGATCGCTGTACTCGTACTTAAGCGAGGCTACTTTAGCTTTGTTAAGCTCCAAGGCAGAGAAGAATCTGTCTGCTTCTTCAATCACAGCTTTGTTCTCTTGAAACACTTCGCTGAACGTTGGAATCTCTTCTATGAGCTTCAACCTCACTATCTCCTCAGCGGAAAGGTTTGGATCTTTCCTCAGCTTAGTTGCTAACGCTGCAATCTCCGCAGCGTCCTTTGAGACGAACAGAGTAGGGAAGTCTTTCTCTAGAAGAGATGAAATCTTCATACGAGCTTCAGCCCATTCGTACTCTCTCATTGGAGAGCTTGCACTAACAAGAACATTGGAAGACTCTCTCCCAGCAGCATCTTCTGGACCTTGGTGAAGAAGGTTCTCAAGAGAGTTCAGGTAGCTGTCGAACTCTATCGGGTCAACATCAATAGGCTCGTGCGAGACAGCTAGGACACCGTTCATTGGAGAGACATAGATGTGAGGAATCGAAACATCTTCTTCCTCCAAGTTAACTCTGCGTTGTTTCTTTCTCCTGGTGCCACCACTAGTGTTAGGCCCAGTAGCAGCTCCACCTTCCTCCCCCTCGTTCTGGCGGTTCAGCTCCACAGCACCACCGCTCTGCTGGTTTGAAGGGCGTCTTGAAGATTGACGAGATGGTTTCGGTTTGGTTGAGGATTGTGGTGGTCCAGTTTTGCCAGGAGTTTTTGGCCCTTTCTTCTTCTTGGTGACTTTAGGTTTCTCTACAATGGGATCAAATGTCGGCATTGGGTTCCTCTTCCTCTGGCTGTATCTGGAGTTTCCTTCTTTAACGTTCTCATCGTTTTGAGCTGATGCTTCGGTCTTTGCTTCCTTTGGTGTCTCCTCAAAGAGAGACGCAGCATCAACTACAAAAAGAAAAGGAACCAAAATACAAACAAAATATTGTATTATTTGTTATATATTCACAATGAAACTCAACTCTATTTTTTCTTATAACTTTTAATAATATTTTGATAATATTCTGTGAAACCTATTGCGTATACACCAAGTAGTATAACAAAACGATATAAAAGTCCAACTTCTAAATTTAATAACTCTATAAATTAATAAAATTTTATAGTCCCAACATTATTCATTTATAGATTTTTCTTTACCGCAGCTTAAGCTAAAACTAAAACTTTCCATATCAAGAGTATACCTTTGTCTGCAGGCTGGAAGAGAGCAGGGATCTTCCAGCTAAACGAAGCAAAGAACGCATCAGCATCCATCTCAGGGAAATTCATCTGAATATAACGAGCAAGAGCAGGCTTGCTAGCAAAAGTCTTTGGGACATTCTTCTGCTGAAGCCTCTGAGGGAGAATCAGAAACCTATCTTGATGAAACCCAAGAGCAGTCACTCTCCTCCCAACTCTCCAAGTCCAAACATCACCAGGGCTTGGCCAATCCACAGGAGCATAGGGAGGACCCTGACCAGTTGAAACAGGTGGGATCGCTGGGAGTTCGTTGAGATCGGTTTCTCCGTGAGTGAAAGAGCTGTTGTCTACACTCCTCTTTCCATTTTCCTTGGTCTGAGAGAGTGGCTCTGGCTTTTGAATGGCCTCTTCTCTGTTGAAACCGTTTTCCCAAAAGTCGTCCAGCTCTTGCTGAGTGGCTTGGGGTTGGTCTTGTTCGTTTTCATGATAAGTTGAGAGCGGGACAGGTTCAGTGTCTTGGTAGGTGCTGACTGGGACTGGTTCGGTATCAAACCTGTATGTAAAAATTAGCACAAACACATGACTCACATCAAACAAAAGCTACTTTAAAACATTTAAACATTAAAACCACAAAACATTTAGACATGCAGTTTAATATATTGTAATGGTGAGAAAAAGCTTTGTTAGGACCAATCGACCATAGACACACAAAGAATAGTCAACCCTAAAGACACAACTTATCTTTTGTAGCAACAATTAGTATAATAAGAACCCTTACTTTGGCTCAATCCCATGTTTCAACAATATACTTAAAACACTACACAATCTAATCTTTTAAACTCAAGAACTGTAATGTCTGAGCTTTGAATCTGCTCAACATTACAATCTAGGTCTAAAAGAGGTAAGACTGCTCCTATTTTCCGACAAATTTAAGCTCAAGATTCACAGGGAATTAACACAAAAAACAAAACAGAGAGATTAAGGAGGAGAGAAAAGTACCCAGGAGGAGATTGACCGATGTCTTGTTGCATATTTGTCGGAGAATAAAACGGAGAAGACATGCTACTCAAACCCTAATTCGCAGCCCTGCACAAGAGAAACACGTCAAGCGAAGTTCATGATGGAAAATCATCGAACGTTATATAAACTTTTGTGTGAATGAGAAGCAGAACAAACGGATTTTACAGGCAGATCTGAAGGCTTCTCTCCGTTTCCTTATTTTTTAACTCTCTCTCTCTATGCAGAGATGTGGTTAGTCTTCAGGATGAAGTGGATCGAATCAAAATAATAAATTGACCATTATACCCTTGATAGGTTCTTTTTTTTTTGGTTTTTTACTGTAACGCACCAAGTTTTGGTCAAGTTTAACTTTTTTTTGTTAAACATTTATTTTAGAGAAATACAATAATCCTAAATATACTACACAATAACCAAAATGATTAAAATAAATTTCACTAAAAAGGTAATGACACTTATTTCTAGGGGTAGGAGGGACCGGATATCCAGGATTCGTAAAATTGCTATCCGGATCCGGATTCAGGCCTTCTGAATATCCGGAGTTCGGATACCCGCAGATATCCGGATTCGTTTTTTTTAAAAAAAAATATAAATTAAATTAAAAATTAAGTATTTATTTATTCTATTAAAATTATTATTTTTTCAAAAAGTTAAAATAAATTAATGTAATTAATAATAAAATTAAGCTTTAGTTATTTTTCATAAAAATATATATAAAATACATATATAAATAGAATTATATTTTAAATATTTTAATTATTTTAAATATTTTAAAAATATTTAGTGGGCCTGAATCCGGATCCAGATATCCGGACTAAAAATTTCACTATCCGGATCCGTAAAATCACTATCTGAGTCTGGATCCAGACCCTCCGGATATCCATTTTTTTCGCGCAGATCGGAGCAGATCCCGGATCGGATAGCGGATAACGGGTATTAAGTCCCAATCCTACTTATATCATAGAGTTGAGTAATATAGATCTATGGTATGGGTTTGGAGATCTTTGGGAGTGGGATTTAGGAGAATTTTGGAGATTAAGATTTCTTAAATATATATATAATTAAGATTTAAAATAATAATTTTAAAAATATTTTCGAATTTCAAAAAAAAAAAAATTTAGTTGAATAGAATTTTATTATATAATTTTTGAATAGAATAAATTGTTTAGTCGTGGCTATATATAGTCACGATAAATTAAAGGCAAAACCATAGTTAATTTAGTAACAAAATGGCCGTGGCAAAGTCATGCTAATAGTCGCGATTAACCGCAGTTTTTTTCTAGTCACGCTTTTTGCTCTATAGCCACAATTTATCCGTGGCTGTACTAAATATATTTATAATAGTGTATAAATAACGTTAATTCTTGTTGGAATTTTAGTATGTTTACTGGTATTAGTAAGTCAGTGAAGATAGTATGCAAAAGATGGAGTATTATTATTAAACAGAGTACTAAATTAACTTATTGGTCTGATTATAAAGTTATCGAACCTTCGTCTTTCCTTCTTGTTCTTCGCTTAAATCATAACCATGGCACTGAGATAATCCATTTCACCACAAGCCCACAAGTGTTTTTATCTTCGGCTCTTTTCTGTTTCTTTCTTCATCTTTGTCTCTTCTTTATTTTACTTGTTCCTTGTATTCCAGTGATGATTCTTGCTATGCAAATCATTGTTGTATATATTCCTCAAATTCTTTTAACCCTCGATAAGTTTTGTCAAAGATCACCGTGAGTTATCATATTGTTGATCACAACAAGAAACCAAAGATGTTTACAAAACCAAACCAATGTTTTTCTATGTGAACCATTTTCATACTACTATATGATCAGAGACGCATCTGAGTGATGAAAATAAAGAGTGAGACAAGGAGACGCATCCAAAAAATGTGGTCGATGAAGGAAACTTTATTTTCTATTATGAGGTTTGAATCTTAATGATGAGGATGAAATGGAGCCGTTCTAGTGTTAGGCTGAAGTGAAAACAATAAAATCTTTATAAATGAACGCCAAAACTAACAAGAGGAGCAAGAAACAAGAAGATAAAGAGTCCCAAAGAGCAAATAGTAGCAGAAACTACCATGATTATAACAAAATGTAATGAGACACAGACAAGGGTGAATAAATAATCAAGAGAGATCACTTGTTTCACATCACAAGGTAACTAATTAGGAGAGATCACTCCCACCCACGACTTCGGCTTTTACGACTAGTGCTAAATTAAGTACCTTCTATCTCCCACCAGTACCCTTTTTCAAACGCGGAGTTCATGTCATCAATCTCTTGTTGAAACTCAGTGTAATAATCCCACATATCACAATCACATCCTCCGCTACAAGGATCATAATCCCATCTTCTACGAGCACTTCTACATGCAAAAACATCTGATTCAACATCTAGCTGGATGTGAACCAAACTTGGAACATAATTGAAAATATGAGGACATGCTGAATACGTTTCTTTAAAAGGGATTTCTGTGTAATATCCATCTTTTTCACCAACAGTACATAACCCGTTCAAGTCTTTCCCAAAATCTTAAACACACAAGGCCACTTTCTTACGCTCGTCGATTAAAAGACACGTGGAAACATCAAAACCATAATCCACAGCAAAGGATTTGCTCCATGAAAAATCTGCTTCACAATTAGTACTATCCATTTTATTGGTCACCCACATCTCCATCTTTGATGAACCCATTATACCACGTAACACTGAAAGTTCTTCTCTAACAACTGATAGAGACATATAATACTATCATGAGATGTGAGAGGAAAACAAAAACGTCTAAATCTCTCTTCTGTAAAATCAAAACTGAGTAAGTAGTCTTCTGTGCCATCACAAGAAACCCAGTAAGTGTTTCCTTTCAAAGTCACGCCATGAGAATTCATTACATAGCTGTTAGGACTAGCATTATTAACAACTCTCCAGGCATTAGAGTTAAAATCATAAATTTCAAACTTATCAACTAGGTGGTAGCCTTTTCTTTTGTCACATCCCCAAAACATCAAGATTTTGTAGCTTCGGCTAAACTGATTATTTTCGTATCCTACAGCAAACTCAGTCTTTCCCCCTTTATTATGGTAAGACCTTCGAACCATCTTGTTTTTGATCCACCTTGTTTCCCTTAAACAAGGATTCCAAACCATGAGTTCATCATCCGTGGTGGTGCACAATAACAAACCATCGCAGTGAAAAACTGTGTCTATAGAGATCTTTTCTTCTGAATCATTATAATCATTTAGGTCAAGTGCATCGCTAAATTCAATAGACGGAGGTACAAGGTTCAGATCTACCTAAGTAGGATAAAGCCTATGTCCATCCAATATGAGAGCACGAAGCTGCTTTGGAACGTTATGAAGGTGCTTCTCCACGAACCTTTGCTCTTTGAATAAAGCGTTTCATCTTTTGCAAGTAGATCGAAATCTTATCAGAGATGTGGCCGGAACCCTAGATAGTATTTCTTCTACCAAATCTGCCGGAAGATCAGACATCATCGTTGTTTACCTCTCTCTTGTGGACTCATCCCAAGGAAAGATGAAGGGTTTTTACTTTTCTGGTCTAAAGATGATGAAAGGTTTTGTCTCCCAAGGAAGAGGAGAACAAGACAATGGGGGTTCTCTAAGTAAATTAGGGTCTTGTTTATAGTCGACAATATTTATTTCATATATGCCACAAAATGCTCTTTGATTGATTGATTCGCCGGCATTAACATAAGTATTATGCTCTAATCCAGTGCAGTTCACGTGTGTGGATAGTGCTTTGGCACAAAGTCCCATCATTTCCTTGTCAATTTTCTTTACAACCAGAGTCCTTCAATTTTGGTTTTATAGAAGAAAGGACCCTTTAATTTTTTGAGCACATAAGAAAAAGACCTTAAAATTTTGATTTATGCAAAAAGACCCTAGAATTTTGATTGTGCACAAAGCCTAACTAAGTTTTGGGCCAGGGCTGCTCTGATCAAAACACTGACTGTTAACATTTTGGGATGAATTGCACAAATGTAATGGCGATGATCCAAAATTCAAAAGATTGGTCGAGCTTCTCTACAGAAGTTAGGAGAGTTTGCATTAGTGAAGACCAAATTTTCAGACTTCAAAATTTTCCACATACTAAGATTGCAAAACCGGACAACAGATGACTTAACTAGAACTCCTTGTAATTTCTACTGCAAGTTATTTTTTGTTGGTTATTTTATTCCAATCTAGATTCCCAGATCACTTTAAGTCTGAATAATATAATAGTCTTTTGATGTTAAGAAAAAAAAAACATAAACATTATGCTCTTTATTATCCAATCAAAATTTACCAAAATAAAATCATTTACCAAATGCTAATACTTTCCAAATGTTCTTTGCTGTCAATACTCTCATACGAAGCTTTTGAGAGAGCATTTACAATTAGAATTTATAAAACTTAAAATAATTATATAATAAATTTATTTTTATTTAATAATATAAAAATTTTAATAATAAAAAATATATATTTTCAAAAATAAAATTGTAATTAAATATTCTTAACTTTGTTTTAAAAAATACACTATTTCACATTTCAAATATAATATAATTTATATAATTACACATATCGTTCATTATTTTAATAACAAACATAACATAATATATATTTATATATTATAGATATAAGCATATCGATATTATTTGGACACATATAAATAAATTATATAACATATATTAAATTTTATGATAATTTTATATATGAATCATCTAATTCTCTACCAATAAATAAATAATGATAATTAATTTATCAATTATATAAAATTAATTAATTTATTTAATAAATTAAAAATTAGGTTTATATCCAAAATAATTTAATATTTTAAAAATAAATTTTACATTTTTTAAATAACAATATTTTACATATAAAATATAATATAATTTATATAATGGATAAGATTCATTATTTTTAATGACAATATATATTATTAATATAAATATACAAATATTATTTTTAAACAAATATATTATTATAATAACTATTATGATATTTTTAAAATTGTATACTGTTACTGCTGTGCCAATCATTTTATTAAAAAATTTAATGAAAAATACAACTTATACATCATATTATTACTGCTTTATCATCTGTTGTACCAATCGAACCGAGAGTGAGTGTTTTGTTTCCACTTGTTTATATCTTTTATACTATAAATCCAAAGCCACTCAACAGTTCTCTGAATGACAAATGTCATTTCTAATTGATAGCTTTTTATT